GCACTGCAGGGGGAGGGATCTGTGATGCAGCTCCCCTGTCGTCCTGCGCAATGCTGTGTGGAGCATTGCCATGGTAACGCGCGGCAACGCTCCACACAGCATCGCGCGGGAGGACAGGGGAGCTGCTTGCTAGAACCCTCCCCCTGCCTCCCAACACGGAAGCAGAGTAGGCGCCTGCCGTTTCGGCAGGCAGGCGCCTACTCTGCAGTGATGGCGAACCTGTGGCCGCGTGCCCACAGAAAGGGCCCGGCGTGCCACCTGTGGCACGCGTGCCATAGGTTCGCCATCACTGGACTACATGAATGTATCAATAGCATACAAAGATAGTAACAAACTTCCCAAATGAGGAAAACTGCAACTGTTTCAATTAATATAGAAGCAGCACTTTGCAGCCCAACTAGTAAGCCCAAAATGTAAAGTTTAGAGAAGGCACAGAAAGAGTCGAACAACTAAATGTTGCAAATCTCTGCATTGTCTTCTTGCAGAAAAAAAAGATAAGAGACTCTAATGGTAAACAATTGTAGACTACATATGTGTATCCCTGTAGGAGTAAGAAATATATATGAAAGTCACATGTAAAGGGGGAAAAAAGTATAAGTAATAAAAAATATAACCACCGAGCACAAAAAATACATATCAGAAAACCCCCCACTATTATTATGATGTTATTACTTATATAGTGCCAACAAATTCCGCAGAGCTTTACAGTTGGACACACCGGAACAGAAGGGTTGAGGGCCCTGCCCAGCATGATCTTAAATGCTAGAGGGAGTGGGGTAAAGTGACCCACTTCTTAGGACTGCAAATCATGGAATTAAATTCCCGAAATTGACACTGCTGTAATTTGCATGGCAAAAGAACAACCCTCCCTATTAATTCTGTGGCCTATTTAAGAGAGCCAATGAAAAAGCGAATAGATGCAGCGCTAATAAAAGCCTACCCCTCTCTTGGTTCGTAATTACATCCAGCAGTGACTTTAACAACTGTTTCTAGAGCCCTGAAAGTTTGGATGGAGAATTTAGTTGAGGACATAGAAAGAGGAGTTTGAAGAGAACATCTTACAGAAGGACTAAAAGACTTCAAGTTGACAACTGAATTTTGTTCATAGGCATCTCTTGATGTTACAAAGATGATTGCGAAGAGCATGATCCTTTCGGTAGCATCTAGAATAGCATTATGGCTACATGCATGGGGAGTGGATTACTCTTCAAAGGCATCTCTTTGTGCTCTACCTTTCCAGGGAGATCTTTTGTTTCGGGAAAGTGCTAGATAAACTGATGCAAAAAGTCAGTAATGGGTAAAATATGTCTTCATCAAGATAAAAGCGACTGTTATTATCTACCTGGAAAGATAAGAAATATATAGATAGTTCAAGTCTATAGATCAGGAAGGGAATATTCTTGGAATGTAAACTGGAGAAACCTTTAGTCATCATCATCAAAATCTGCTAGAGGAAGCCTTCAATAAAAAATAAACCTTCAATAAAGGTTTCTGAATGTTTGCAGGTCCAGCCAGGACTTATAGGAAGAAGCCTTTATATTTTTTGTCCTGTCTAGACCAAAGGTATCACAGATTCCTGGGTCCTTTCAATTTTGAAAGAGGGATACAGGATAGAATTCGATTCCCTACCAGAAAAACACACTTTCAAACGATCTCGAGTTGCAAAAGTAGAAAGAGAGAAAGCCCTAGAGGGATGCATTTTTCAACTTCTATATTTGTGTATTATCAGATTCCTATAAACAGTCATCTCAGGTTCCTTCTGGGTTTTTTAGAGATATTATCAGTTCAGGGGTCTCTCATTCGGCCTAAATCTGGTTGCAAGGAATGGTTGCAGATCAGTTGTTCACCCAGGAGAATGGATGTGACATCCATAGGTATTTTAAACTATATATCTAAGGTGGGGGACACCTCAGATCGATATAATGGCCTCTGCCAAGAACAAATAAGTTCTATTGTATTTCTATCTACGACCAGACCCCTGTTCAGTGGGTCGAGATGGTCTGTCTCTTACATGGGAATTCGATCTGGGGTATGCATTCCCTCCCCTGCAGCGGTTGCTGAAGAAAACCTGGAAAGAAGGAAGAATGGGGATAACCATCATTCCAGTTTGGCCAAGGAGACCTTGGTTTCTTCTCTTATGCAGGATGAGGAGGGCACAGCACTGATGCTTCCACAGAGACAGGATTTTCTTCTTCAAAGGCCAGCGCTTTATCTCAATCCAATTCAACTGAAGTTGGGAGTCTGGTTCATGAAAGGAAAAGGCTCCTAGATCTAAGCTTATCAGGAGCAGTTGTGGAAACTCTTCTAAAACCAAGAAAAAAAGTCCCCATCTGCATGTTCTCAAAGAATAAGGGAAACATTCTGATCATGGGCTATGGAAAAATCTGTTGAATTTCTTCGCCCTAAGTAAATCCATATACTAGAATTCCTTCTACCAGCTTTGAAAAAGGATTAAGTAAATTAAAAGTACAAACTTCTGCATTATCTGCTCTGAATAACATATTGTGGGCCTCAGATCCCCTTACAGTGAGATTCTTCAATACTGCCATTCATATAAGACCTCCAAAAATAAGTTTTACGCCTCCTTGGTATCTAACTTTGCTATTAGAGGTATTGACGAGCCTCCTTTTTCTCAATTAGATAACATACGTCTTATTGAGTTTACCAACAAAACTCTGTTTCTAGTGGCTATTACTTCAGCTTAACGTATGTCTGAAATACAGGCCTTTTCACGTGATGACAATTATGTTCAAGTTTTTCATGACAGAGTGGTTCTAAGACCTAACCAAGAATTTTTACCTAAAGTGGTCTCTAATTTTCATCTTTTGCAAGAAGTCGTATTGCCATCTTTTTTCCAAAGTCCATCACATCCTGAAGCTAAGCTCCACCAACTAGATGTGAGAGAATGCCTGATGAAATATCTGTCTCTAAGACTCTTCGTAAGTCACAAAATGTGTTCTTCCCACTGGGTCTAGAAGAGAAGAAGTGGCTGCCACTTACACCCTAAGACGCTAGATATCGAATCTCTTGTAAAGGCTTGTCAATAAAAATAACTTACACCCCCAGAAAAAAATAAAGACTCACTCATCAAGATCTCTAGCAACTTTGTGGGTTAATCTGGCAGAGGTTTCATACTCAAAAACATAGCCCGCATCCACCCCTTTCTTACACAAGATGCTACCAAGGAGCTTGTCCATGCTCTAGTAATTTCCCGCATGAATTACTGTAACCCTCTCCTGATTGGTCTCCCCAAAAGCCGTATTGCCTCGCTACAGTCTGTAATGAATGCTGCAGCTAGACTGATTTTCCTCTCTAGTCAGTCCTCTCACACCTCACCCCTCTGCCAGTCCTTACATTGGCTCCCTGTATCCTATAGGAGTCAATTCAAAATGCTAACCCATACATGTAAAGCACTGAACAATTCTAGCCCCTCTTATATCTCTTCACTGATCCATGGGTATGCCCCTCCTCGTTCCCTCTGCTCTGCCTGTGACCACCTCCTGACCGTTGCTCGCACGCATACAGCCAACTCGCACTTGCAGGACTTCTCACGGGTGGCTCCCTTCCTATGGAATAGCCTGCCTACCGCCATCAGACTCTCCCCCAGTCTTCAATCATTTAAGAAGGGCATTAAAACCCATCTCTTTAGGAAAGCTTATGGCCTCCCAGAGTAACCTTTACCTTACATACTTGTCTCTTGCTCTCTCCTATAGAGCAGTGCTTTACTCTCTCCTCCAGCTTTGCTTCACTCCCACCCTATTTGATTGCTATTTCCTGAACTAATGTGTTTTATACCCCACCTCCTATAGACTGTAAGCTCGTTTGAGCAGGGCCCTCTTCAACCTATTGTTCCTGTAAGTTTTCTTGTAATTGTCCTATTTATAGTTACATCTCTACTCTCATAATATTGTAAAGCGCTACGGAATCTGTTGGCTCTATATAAATGGAAATAATAATAATAATAATAATAAAAATAATAATGATATCTACAGGGTAGCCACTTGGTCTTCTTCGATGAAATTCATCAAGCATTATAAGCTGGATTTGGCCTCTCATGCTACTTCTTTTGGTAGAGGTTTACTGTCCTCAGTCTCCTCCCATAATTAATCTTTTGCTAGCATCATTCTCACTGTTAGTGCTTTTTCCCTTCCAAGTTAATATTAGCTTTGGTATGACCCATAGGTGATGCTGCCATGATTAGCCAGAAATACAGAAAATTTATAATGGCTATTTTTCATGGCAGCATCAAAGACACTCCCAATTTTTTTAAATTTTTTTTTTTGTTGTAGCTTATAACTAAACTGTGGGATAGAACCATTTGGGGGGAGCTTTTATTTCTTCAGTCTCTTAATTGTTTAATTGTTCCTGTCCTGTCCAGTCTGAGGTCGGAGACACATAGGTGATTATATAAATTTTCCATATTATATATGTAAATGTCAAATCAAATCAAAGCCCCTTTGTTGTTTAAAAACAGTATATAATATGTGTTGGTGCAATAAGTGAGAAAAACAAGTTGGACACAAACATAACAAAAATTGCTTATGTCCTTAAAAGAACACTATACTTACCCATATGACTTAATCTTAATGTAAACAGTTTTTGAGACTAGGGACAGGTACACTATTGCGCTAGGAATATTGATTTGTATTCTTAATGCTATAGTCCTTTAAATGTAGTCATTTAAGTGTAATACAAGCAACTGAAGCTATGTCCTTAAGGGATTAATGATATTGACGTCACACTCACATCTTCCTTGTGCTGTCAAATGTTTTAACACAAATGTTAATTTCTCAGTTTGCGTATGCATATGCAAGTATAAGCCTGAATATATATAGTTGCAAGAAAAATGCTGTAAAATATTTTTAAATACAAAATAACATTGATGTTTAATTTATGTTTTAATTCAGTTAGTGTGTGGCCTCTTGAAGGAAAACTATACCTTCTCTGGTAATTACACCATTGAATAAAACATCAAAGTAACCTATAACTTGTGTTAACCTTTTTCACAGGACATTTGAGACGCCAATACAACTTTGATGCATTTAATAGGTTTAGACTTTATTATAATGCTATATTTTTGAGCATTCTCAAATATGTATAGTTTTTTCACAAAACAAATATTTTTGCTAAATGCTCCACCATAAGCCTGCCTCCATAGCTACATTCCCTCATGCCAGGTTATTCAGTAATGTCAATGGTTGAGCTGTGTGCATACATTTGATAGGGATGTCTTTTTCTGAAGTGAGGGGCGTGGTTAAATAGGCAGGCGGATGGTGCGGCATTCTGCAAAACTCGATTTATTTCTTTTTGTGTGCAAAACTACAAACGACTTGAGCATGCAAAAAACATCCAGCATACTAGTGAGGACAAAACCTATTAAATATGTTAAAGTTGTACTGGTGCGCAGAGAGTCCCTTTAAATCTATATTAAAGATTTAGCAAATTACATTATAATCCAGTTCAGACAAGGCAAAGCCAGGGCAAATATTTCAAATAAAGAAGAGAAGTAGAAAGACTGTTTCATTTCTCCTCTTTCCTGTACGCTTTCCGCATGCTGACTGCCAGGTGCAATGACGGCGCTCAAAACAATGATTGACAAATACATATTTGATAAATATAGGGATAAGTAAACATAATATTAAAAATGCTAGGAAGTGACAGTTCCCCATTTAATCTGCATATATCTACATATATCAAAAATTAAAAGGCTTAGTTTAAAATGAATGAGTTTTTTTTCCATATATATGTAGAACTAAACTTACATCAGCAGCAGTTTCCAGAGAAATCAAGAAAACAGAAAACATTTATTTATACACTTCAAAACACTGCAACTAAACAACTGTGAATGAATTTACCCTCAAAGTTGACTTTATACATAGACCTAACTTATTTAGGACATTGTTTCCTTTACATTTTTTTTTTTTTTTTAAGCATGCAAATACTATTCTTCAATATCTTAAAGTTCTCAGATCTTTTGTAAAAGTTTATATAATATTCAGTTTTAATAATGGTCAAAGACAAAACATTACTTATGACATCTGGTCATTAAAATGTGTTCTTATAGATCGAACAATTAAGTTATTTACTAAACTCTTTTTTTTAATGTAAAACCACAGGGATCGGAGATTTATCAATAACCCCATAGTGGCCGAAGATAGACCAAATATAGCAGGCAGGATACACGTTTGCAGATAATCATTTTAATATAATGGAGGTATATTACCTCTATATGCCCTTTGTGGCGGAACCCGCCTCGCCACCTGGCATTGGAGAGGCCTGGCTGCCCGCCTCCTTCCTGCTGACTATGGCCCCTGGTAAAGTTGTACTTTTGAATGCAATATTTGGGCATATTGTATTTTATTGTGCGGCTACTGGCTCTTTAAGCACAGTGAATGGACTTACTGAAACTTTTTGGACACTTCCTCTTCCCCTCCCCCGGATTCATTGTTCTCTAGCAGGGTGTTGTCCCAGGGACACTGCCAAACCAGTGGGAACTGGTTTGCCAGGAAAAATCATGCTTGCAAGTAAAAACAAAGGACTTCGACCTAACCGTTAAACCCCTGAACCTATTCAAGTGAATTTTGGATATGTTTGTCCCCAAGTTATACTGGTTAAAATAATATAAGTTTTATGTATGTGCTATGTTAACTCACAAAGTTATAAAAATGTACAAAAAGTAACTTTTCAGCTTGGAGATAATTGAGTAGATACAGTAATTGACTCAATTATCTCCTAAGCAGAGGGGAGGAATATGCTGGGTGTGTTTCTATTTTCCCATTGTGTCTGATTGGCTGCTGTACTTGCATTGTATGTGTTGTAACGTGTTTATTGGTGGTTCTGCAAAACCTTGTGGGCAGTACTATGTTTTGTGGATTGTAATAAAAACCAGGCTGGGTGTGCCAGCACTTGAGTTCCTGTTTTAACCCTCAAAGTGAAGTGTCGTCTCATTATTGGGGGAAGGATTTATTGTATGCTGTTCCAGTTTGACTGCTAGGAGAGTAAACCTATTTGTATGGTTCCTATTCAACTGTCTGCAGCATTCATATGCTTGGGAGAATTTATTTGTTTCTCCGGTTCGGTGATTGTGGTGTCTGCCAGAGTGCTTGGAGTCCTCAGGAAGCGCTAGGAGCATCCTTCAACGGAGGTACCCAGTCGGGGTGCCAGGCGATCCGTTACATTGGTGGCAAGCGGTGGGATGGCGTCCTAGTGCGAGGTAAAGCAGCTCAGAGACACAGTTCGTTTGGATTTACAAATTGAAGGCGACGCTAGTGTTTATACAGCGTCCCTGTCTACATAAAGATTTGGGAAAATGGGGTTCGTGGATCCTTGGGCAACACGCACACCTGAGGAAGAGAGTGAATTGGAATGGAGAGATATTGCCCGGCAAGAACTATGGTACGATGCCCTGGAGGAAGTCCAGTATCAACGGCAGCAGCGCCTTCCTGGTGTCGCATACCGTTTGGAGGAACAAATGGCCTGGCGGATGCCGCTTCTGGGAGACCAACCCGGAGGGCAGCAGGTCAGACAACTTGAGTACCTCGTGGAAAGGGAACTGAGCCTTGACGCCTCATATCGGGCACTGTGGTGGTGCACTGTCCAGCCAGAGACGTGGAGGGCAAAGGGCATCCAGCCGGAGGGGGAGAACTACACTAGCCCTGGCCTGTTGTGGAAGGCCTTAGCAGAAGACGTCGACTTTGGCAGTCCAGCAGAGTCACGGGACTGGGGTGAGATGGTACAGGGCCCGAGATCTATGGGACTGGGACAAGACCTCCACCGTTTGGCTGCCATGGAACGACAGCTAGAGATGGACTATGTGGAACTTCTGAACTCATGTCAGCCGCAGAGCATAGACGCAGAACAGGAAAACTGGGTGGCGGACCCAGACCTGCCAACCTACAGCTGGGAAAACGCAGCCGAGGTCCCCACTGCTTCACTACCAGTTGCAGAAGTAGGGGACCTCATAGACTGGTCCTGGGAAGACCCACCGATGGAAGGTAGAGATGGGACGGCTGTCTCTCTACCGGCCCTACAGGGATGCTGGGCAGTCGGCCCAGATCCCCAGCGGCAGTATGTATCCCAGGGAGCTGAAGGTGTCGTCCTTCCTCCCCAGCGGCAGTGTGTACCCCAGGGAGCTGAAGGTGCCGTCCTTCCTCCCCAGCGGCAGTGTGTACCCCAGGGAGCAGAAGGTGCCGTCCTTCCTCCGCAGCAGCAGGACAATATATTGAAAGGGGAGACAGATGGTCCCCCTCTTCACCAGCAGACCAGTATGGAAGGGTCTGGAGATAATTGGCTGGCCGAAATAAGGCAGCAAGTGGCCCAGTATGGGGATGATGTACCCATGGAAACACGCCGGGTGATCTGGAACCAGGTCATGGCCGAGCGAAACACAAGGCTGGACCGAGAATTCCAGCGGACGAAAGAGAGAGAGTGTCAGGGAGAGGAGCTTGTTACCCCCTCTCCCCAGCGGCAGTCTATGGTTCAGGGAGAGGAGCTTGTTACCCCCTCTCCCCAGCAGAAGCATAGCCCACCAAGGGGAGACACTAAACCCCTCACCAGTGCAGATGGGACCGTGGTCTCTGAGCCCAAGCTACAGGGAGTACGGAGGATCAGTCCTGCTCCCCAGCGGCAGAATATTTTACCGGGAGGGGAGAGTGTCTTTCCCCCTCCCCAGCGGCAGCCTAGCCCACCTAGGGGAAACACTAAGCCCCTCACCAGCGCAGATGGGACCGTGGTCTCTGCGCCCAAGCTACAGGGAGTACGGAGGGTCAGCCCTGCTCCCCAGCGGCTGGAAGTGTGTAAGGGAGAGGAGTTTGTTACCCCCTCTCCCAAGCGGCAGCATAAACCACCAAGGGGAGACACTAAGCCCCTCACCAGCGCAGATGGGACCGTGGTCTCTGCGCCCAATCTACAGGGAGTACAGATGGTCAGTCCTGCTCCCCAGCGGCAGAATATTTTACCAGGTGGGGAGAGTCTCGTTTCCCCTCCCCAGCGGCAGCCTAGCCCACCAAGGGGAGACAGTAAGCCCCACAACAGTGCAGAAGGGACCGTAGTCTCTGCACCGGCACCACTGGAGATATGGACAGTCTGTCCTGGCCCCCAGCAACAGGACAATGTATTGGAAGAGAAGGCAGTTTGTTTTCCCCTACTACAAGAGAGGTCGTCGCAGGGAGAGGAGCCTGTTACCCCTTCTCCCCAGCAACAGCTTTGTCCAACCAGGAGAGAGAGCACCCTGGTTACCTTTCCACCAGACTATGGATTTCCAACTGGACACATGTGGCAGGAGAACACCGGGACAGCTACACTGGGTGAGAAAGGCCGACCGACTATCAGAGCCCCAGACCGATTGAAGGTCTGGAGTCTGGATAGTCTCAATGGGAAAGGGGAGAAATGTGGCGGAACCCGCCTCGCCACCTGGCATTGGAGAGGCCTGGCTGCCCGCCTCCTTCCTGCTGACTATGGCCCCTGGTAAAGTTGTACTTTTGAATGCAATATTTGGGCATATTGTATTTTATTGTGCGGCTACTGGCTCTTTAAGCACAGTGAATGGACTTACTGAAACTTTTTGGACACTTCCTCTTCCCCTCCCCCGGATTCATTGTTCTCTAGCAGGGTGTTGTCCCAGGGACACTGCCAAACCAGTGGGAACTGGTTTGCCAGGAAAAATCATGCTTGCATGTAAAAACAAAGGACTTCGACCTAACCGTTAAACCCCTGAACCTATTCAAGTGAATTTTGGATATGTTTGTCCCCAAGTTATACTGGTTAAAATAATATAAGTTTTATGTATGTGCGATGTTAACTCACAAAGTTATAAAAATGTACAAAAAGTAACTTTTCAGCTTGGAGATAATTGAGTAGATACAGTAATTGACTCAATTATCTCCTAAGCAGAGGGGAGGAATATGCTGGGTGTGTTTCTATTTTCCCATTGTGTCTGATTGGATGCTGTACTTGCATTGTATGTGTTGTAATGTGTTTATTGGTGGTTCTGCAAAACCCTGTGGGCAGTACTATGTTTTGTGGATTGTAATAAAAACCAGGCTGGGTGTGCCAGCACTTCAGTTCCTGCTTAACCCTCAAAGTGAAGTGTCGTCTCATTATTGGGGGAGGATTTATTGTATGCTGTTCCAGTTTGACTGCTAGGAGAGTAAACCTATTCGTATGGTTCCTATTCAACTGTCTACAGCATTCATATGCTTGAGAGCATTCATATGCTCCTACA